TTACTTTGAACTTTTTTCAGTAAAATATGTTCATTTCAGAGACTAGTTGGGATTTCTTTTGCAGTGAAAACTGAGCCAATCATTTTGTGAAAATGTTCCCGTTAGTTATTTCTTCAGTACAGGTACCAGTTTCATTTACAACTATCACATCAGACAAATACACAAGCACTGGAACTAGACGTGTGAAGAATTGATTTTCAGTAACCCATATTTGTCGTAAGAGGCGACAAACGGGATCGGTTGGTCAAGCTCGCTACTTGGTTGACCCATGTGTTCGGTTCCCAATTGCGTAGAACGATGCTTATGATGTCAATCAATGAATTATCTGGTCCAGACTCGACTATTTACAGACCACCGTCATATAGGTGGAATATTGCTGAGTGTGTCGTTGAACACTAAAGTACTGTCGGAAATGCTAGAAAAATGCTTTTCATCCTTAATATCTTTATAAAGGCGATAAATGTACTATGTTGTCAATATATCAACTCGCCTATAGTGTACCTAATTTTTATTTCAATCGCTTTAACATTCCCATGCATTTAAAGGGCAGTTTACAGGAGAGAATTTGGTACCAAGACAACAACTCAAGATTTTTTCAGAGTTCAACAAAAATCTGAAATAGTCTCTACATTTATGTTAATAATACAGGCGGTGTAAAAATATGAATTAGCGTTTTTTCTTAAACAAATAAATGTTGAATGTTTCTGTTACTTTAATTTATTATCGTTTCTTTATTGAAGAAATATTAATATAAATGTTTAGTCTTGATAAATAAGTTTCCCGTCATGCACATCTTTATCACAGCGTTCACTATGGCCAACTATTTGCAGTCGATTGTTGCAAAGGTTTATAAGTTTTTTGTGCGTGAAAAAGACAGAGGTATACCTTTCATTAGTTTAGAAAGGGTTTATTACAGAACTTGTAGAGCTGTTGGTATGTCTTACCAACAAGTTTACAATATTGTAAACAAATCAGATAAGACAGGGACCGTCTCAAGAGCAAAACCGGGACGTAAAACCATCCTTGACAACTTTGACAAGGGAGAACTTAGACGGGCGGTCTACAAACTTTATGAGAAGAAGAATATATATATTCTAAAGAAGCTACACCAGTGACTTCGTTAAATCTTTGGCCAATGTTCACAACTAGATTAAACTGACCGAATTACATCCATATTTTTGCAATGAAATATACTGTTGACATGCAAAACATTTATTAAAACGTTGCACATTTCTACAATCAATCTATAAGATAACACAAGTGATAGGATTCTTTCCAATGTACAGTAATTCGTATGTTTATTTCAAAACAAACACACACACACACATATATATATACATAAGAAAAGCACAGTCATAAAACTTAACCTATACAAACATTTTCTGACATACCTCACACACCATCCAATCGCAGACAAACTCTAACACCCAACCCAACCACGCTTTCATACCCTCACATCTTCATTATCCACAACCCCACCCCTCCGAGTACAATCCCAATCCCACGCACATCCCGACTGATAAACTTTACCAAAACGAAAGACGTGCATGTCAAGTTTATATAAGATTTCTTACATGCGGTGGGCTTTCAAAATATGTTTCCTCCCTGCTGTGAAGAATATTATTATAAACAGTATCAGTAATCGGGCACATTGTGGATTGCTATAGGTGCTCTGAGACGAGATGTGGATTGCTTTAGGTGCCCTGAGACGAGATGAGAGTTGCTATAGGTGCCCTGAGACGAGATGTGGATTGCTATAGGTGCCCTGAGACGAGATGTGGATTGCTATAGGTGCCCTGAGACGAGATGTGGATTGCTATAGGTGCCCTGAGACGAGATGTGGATTGCTATAGGTGCCCTGAGACGAGATGTGGATTGCTTTAGGTGCCCTGAGACGAGATGTGGATTGCTATAGGTGCCCTGAGACGAGATGTGGGTTGCTATAGGTGCCCTGAGACGAGATGTGGGTTGCTATAGGTGCCCTGAGACGAGATGTGGGTTGCTATAGGTGCCCTGAGACGAGATGTGGGTTGCTATAGGTGCCCTGAGACGAGATGTGGGTTGCTATAGGTGCCCTGAGACGAGATGTGGAAACGAGAGATCGACAGGTATGGTGTAGCAATAAATCTAACCTGTTACATTGAGTTTGATGTCATGTTTTTCTCTTAAGGTTACTCGGGGTAAATTTTACACATGAAAGACGCCCCTGCAACAACGTGTATCATTTTCAGTAATTTCATTTGCAGATTGCAGATATGCAAAAACAGCTTGAGGAATTACAGAGAGCAAAGGAAACTCATGAACCTAGGAGTGGTAGGGGAATCGAACGGAAAGCAAGTAACCATGCAAAGGTATTTCTGTCATTTCATTAACCTTTGCTACTTAGTACATCACTGATTTTGGACGATTTACAACATAAAATGTTGTATTTTGCGGAAAAACAGAATAAATCATAACCAACAATGACAGAACAATACAGATTTTTTACCAGAATTCATACATATTCGTATTTTGGGTTCACATATCACATGTCACGATATGGCTGAAATATTGCCAAAGTGACTTTAAATATGAACTCACTCACATATATACCACGTCATTTACAAAATATCGTTAAAGCGTGTAAAAAATTCAAATTGAATATCAATATATTTTAAAAAACTAGATTGAATTTTATGTAAATGATTTTAAAGTTTTCAGACATATATATAGGTATTGTCGGTGTGCGAAATGTGGATATCACGTGACCCCTTCCATAACCAACACGTATACTATACGTACACATATTCAACATTTTGAAGAAAACATCTATTGAGATGACCCCTCGCCCGAGCGTGTGCTCAGGTGTCAATTTCACCTGTCGATACCGTGCATGCTGATGACGTAACACAGGCAGTTAAAGTTTGTATCAAATAACGTCCCACTACCGCTTATTTTTCTACGTTTTTGGTATTTTCATCAGTAAAAACACATTTTAGGGCATGTCTCAAAATTTATTCCCTCGGTCTACATTAGGTAGGTGTTTCGTAAAGTGATATTTGTTATTTAAGTAACTGTAATACCTCTGAATTTTAAATATGAGTCAAAAAGCATTTTTCTAGCATTTCCGACAGAACTTTAAACCTAAACTACGTGGCACAAACCAGGTTATACTATTGCAGCTGACAACCCGGTAGACATCGAAGTCCCAAGTTTCATGTCAGCGGTTGTCAACTTGTGACTGACTGAATATCAGATGTGAATCTCTACATTAATAAAACAGATTTAATGAGTTCAGCTGCTTCACATTGAGTTATTACTACGCAGCCAATCTGTTCATTTGCTTATTTTGTCGATTGTATCGATTGTATCCGAAAAGTTCACCTTGGGTCACAAACCACTTGATTTTCTTATTTTGTTGTTTAATTTCTCAGTTTAACATGGAAACACAGATTTGGTCATATCGATATTTCATCCGACCAGTCAACACGTGCTTTGCCTCACCTGGAATGAGTCGGATTCATTCGTGATCCACTCGTGTTATTCCGGGACAAGCCGCTACTTTCCGTAACCCCTAAGAAGACTTATCGATGAATGTTATGTGCGAAAATGCGACAAACCAATCAGAACACGCGTAATGATTGCGGTGCTTTGATAAAAATAATCCCGAAAACTTAAATCGTTTATGACATTATGTGATTTTTAAAAAAATCATGAAAAGTATATCGGCATATTGATAGAACATATCGTGCAGAATTGTTACGAATATGAAGTTTTTAATGAGGACAGGACCATGAATTGTGAGATTTTACGTGCGCTTTCTGGCGTGTTTCGGTAAAGTAATGATAAATAGCATTCGTCACCACTCGCCCCTTTCCGTAACCTCCAAGAAGACTCGTTCCCTTCTTGATGCTTGTTTTCATCCTGGTTCCGGGCCTCTCATTAGTTTCTATACAAACTAATGAGGTTTGGATTCAGATAATATTTAGTGCAAAAATACGACAAATCTATCAGAACGCGCGTAATGGTTGCGGTGCTTTGATAAAAATAATCCCGAGTACTTAAATCGTTTATGGCACCATGCCATTGTTTAGAAAATCATGAAAAATATCTATCGCCATATTGAAAGAACAAAGAACCTAGAATTGTGTTGCCTCATGTGATGTTTTCAACAAAGATAATGCCAGGGACGATGAGAGATTCAAATACACGCACGTGCGTTTGTTTACATAACGGCTCTCAAATTGAGTGTTTTCTCGGTCCGTTTGCGGCCATGTTTTTCTACGTGCGCTTCCGACATATTTAGTTAATGTAATTACAAATAGCCATGCGTCGCAAAACAATATCTTTTTATACAACGAAACAATTTTAAACTTAGTCACTGTGCTTACATTTCACTTCACTGGGCATGCTTTAGGATGACGTTTCTTGGGTCCTTCATATTTTGTCAGCGTATTCATAATAAATTCCACCTGGGGTATGGCAGCAAGGTTACATGTAAGTTCAGACTACTGGTAGTCACCGCGTACTCTAATTCAAGATAGGACTCTCCACAAATTCTCCACTTCGAGATATATATTAAAGTAATTTTTGTGCATGTATTTTCTCTTATTACAGCTGAAACAAAATGTACGAAAAACCATATACGATTTGTAAACAGTATTTGGGATACAAAGTGAACAGCTGGTAATAATTACATAAGAACGTGTATTCAACAAATCATTATCATTATTATTATATATTTTTTTAACAGGTTAAATTATTTTATTTTCGAGTGCTTCTGTAACTTTTGGAATTGAGTTATCGTTCTTGTAGGAAGTAGTTCTCATGTTTATACGCCAATATGAAATCCTTCCAGAGGGGCACGTGTCGCTATTTGGCTTGTCCCGGAATAACACGAGTTGGTCATGAATGCATGCGCCAGTAATGAAATCCATATAGCACCAGTTTACAATGCGTAAAGTTTAATGTCACCAAATCTATCTACATGTTCAGACTAGGAAATACCAGCACCAACCACGAGGAGGTGGCTCTTCACGGGTGCCACGTGTGGTTTAACATATTCTGCTGTGCATGTTTAGTAATAAAAGTCCGACCGGCTTTATTAATGGAGGTGTTAACCGCTTTGCTGCTAGTACTTGACCACAGGGGTGTGTCACGCTTAGAAACAGCGTTAGAAAGACATATAGGTATATAGACCCTTCCCTAGTACTATATAAAAGGAAAGGGATGTAACGACGGAACCACCCCCTCCTCAATCAAAGTTAGATTTCACCACGTAAACTATTTTTAAGGCCCCGTCGAGGCCTACGGATCGAAAGCGAGATGATTTCGATACAAAATGAGCTATACATGATCACAATCGGATCATTATTTCAAACGTTATACGCCACGACTCACCGAAAACAGCTACCTCCGCAATTCCAAGCCAAAATCATGGATCAGCCAAGACAGCGAAAACTCACCTATTAAATTCGTTTATTAAAATTCCAGCCACGTTGACAGCACCTATGTAGGACTAGATTCGATCGGCAGCGGTATTCCACGGGTCTAAAAACTTACTGCAACATCTACAAATCATTTTCTCGACAGTAAGCAGGCATTTTCTCCAAAACAATAAGCAATCATACTCATTTGTCGGCCATAGATGGCCTTGACATTCAAGTGATCTGATCAGTAAATTGGTAAGAATAATTGTTTCCAAAATCACTTGAAATCATCGAGTTGACTGAAACATGGATAAACGGTTTTGATCTGAGATCTGTTTTGGCTGACTATGTAATTTATATGAAGGATGCTGAGAAAATATTTGAAGCCGGTAGACTGTCCGGAGGCATTCTTGTACTTATAAAATTTTACCTAATGCGTAGAATCTGTTGTGGTGTTGGGCAGTTTTATACATTGATATAATGAATGGAAGATGTGAGGGTGATCAGGGTGTGGGTGATTATACATTCACTGGACATAATGGGGCAACTTGACTGATGATGTCATATGTACTCCGGAACTATTTCAACACTGTGAGTGAGTGAGTGAGCTTGGTTTTACGCCGCTTTTAGCAATATTTTAGCACTGTTACGGCGGGGGACACCCGAAATGGACTTCACATATTGTACCCAATCGGGGTATCGAGCCCGGAGCTTCGACGTGACGAGCGAACACTTTAACCACTAGGCTACCCCACCGCCCCGATGAATGCTGAAGTAAATTGTGTTTGTTATGGGCATTTGTTTGTATTAAATGAGCAAAACACTTGTGCCACTATTGGTCTTACTTGTAATTTTAAATTAAGAAAGAGTGACACCTGCAATACACCTGTGCCACTATTGGTCTTACTTGTAATTTTAAATTAAGAAAAAGTAACACCTGCAATACACCTGTGTCTCTATTGGTCTTACTATACAGCTGCATCATATCAACTGTTTGTTATGTGCAACCAAATATTTTATTTACTTCACAAAATTCATAAACAAACCAGTAATCAATCTAAAGGAAATTATTATCAGACCTTCCTCGGCTCATGTTAAATCGTGAAACTTTCTATGTGTGAAGGGCTTAGTCTCTATTCGCCCACATCCCTAATTGCCCACATCCCAATTGGCCCACAAAAACATCAGAGGTTAATTAGGGTCAGACAATGCACCCCTACTCTCATAATGGGGTGTCCTGACAAGGGGGGGATTAGTCTAAAATCACATACATCTCTGAGTTACTTGACAAAGTGAAGGAGTGAGTGAGTGAGTTAATATTTAACGTCACATCGGCAATATTTCAGCCATATAGTGACGAGAGATGTTTTATATAAATAATAAATTAAAGTTGCTAAAGAATCAGTCAGCGAAGGACTGTAAAATAACTAGAGTATCACAGATGGAGTCTAAAACTAGCATGAACATGTAAAACTATTTTATTTATGAAGACAATACAATCTAAAAACGGGCTATAGATCGCCAACAACTGAAGGTAGATCACCATACTAGGAACCATGGGGACTTACATTACTTTTGCTACCTGCATGGACCCTAGTTGGATTTACACCATCCCTTCAGCCATTGGCGACAGAAGAGAAATCTAGCCATAAATTAAAACACACTTATTCTACGATTAAAAACCTGGTACACTTAAATTGACATTGAAAGTTTTGGGACTTACATACCCCCTCAGGAGGACAATAATTTTACGCTACGTCAACCTCTTTGAGGGTACAGCCACTAACAATCTCAGTTACTAAATATAAACTACCAATAATAAAATATTTAACTATTTACAAATCAGTCAACAAATCTAATTTTTAAAAATGCAAGAATTAAATGAGAACTGACATTATTAAAAAAGATCCTTCAGTGTTTTGATGTGAAATAGATATCCCTTTGTGATGGAATATTCAATGCAGTCAAGCAAGACATGCTTGACTGTGATCCTTTCATCACAAGGGATACAAAACGGAGGATCTTCGCCTTTCAATAAATATTCATGAGTATATCCTGGTATGGCTAATGCGACATCGTCGCATAATGACCTCCTCAAATCTGGACTGACAACCCAAGTAGGTGTAACCAATGTAGGGTTTTATTGCATGTAATTTATTAATACCTACTTGGGTGTCCCACTTCTTTGCATTAGATCGCGGATGTATGTTCTAATGTTGGCTTTATAATCAGAGTATGGGATCAGAAGTGGTGTCACAGATTTGTTGAGGGCCGCCTTTAGCAGCAATATCAGCCATCGTGTTCCCAGAAATGCCAACGGGCTGGGCAACCAACAAAAGACGATGTCGCATTGGCCAGTAGCAAAGTTCATTGTACAACTCAATAATTTCTAACAAAAGTGGATGTTTGCAAGAAAGATTTTAATAGCCTGAAGACACGAAAGAGAATCGGAAAATATGATATATTGTTTATATTTACGGTGTTTATTAATATATTTAAGAGCTGTTAAGATGGCGTTTTGCTTCTGCTGTAAATATAGAGCTGTTATCTGGTATTCTAGAAGATATTGTTCTGGATCCAACGACAGTGGCACATGCCACTGCGCCACCATCCTTGGACCCATCTGTAAATAAGGACTTGTATGTAGTATATTTATTTCTTAATTGACTAAATTCTTGTTTATACTGTAATTCATTTGTTTCTGATTTTTAAATGTAGTTAAATGCCAGGTCAACTCTGTGGTCGAACCAATTGCCAAGGCGGAGAAGAAAGAAAACGGGAAGGAGCTATATGTTCTAGCCTCAATGCCAGCAGCAGAAAGAAAAGGTTTCACTCTTATACCAAGAGGCGGAAACAAGAGAAGGCTTCTTGTTATACAGATCTTCATATAGTGGAGTAAAGACACAGTTATATGCAGGGTTGGACTCATTGGAATAAAGTTTTGTAATATACTGTAAAAGTTAATTTGATACGGCGTTGTGTAAGAGATGGCTCATCAGCCTCGACGTAAAGGCTGTCAACAGGTGATGTTCTAAAGGAACCAAGACATAGTCTTAGACCTTGGTGGTGGACAGAATCTAAAAGTTTTAGATTATTGGTGCAGGCTCCACCATAAACGATGGAGCCATAATCAAGTTTAGGAACGGATCAATGATCGATATAATTGTAGGAGGGTAGCTTCTGATCCCTCCCCACTTAGAGTGTGGAAACGACTTTCAACAAGTCAAGTGCCCTTCAAGCATTTAGTTTTAGTGACTTGATATGGGAAGAAAAAGTTAGATGCGAGTCAAAAATTAAACCCAAGAACTTGGCCTCCTTTACAACTTTGATGGGAGTGCCATTGAGAAACATTTCCGGGTCTTTATGCGGTTTATATTTTCTACAAAAATGTATACAATTAGTTTTGGATTTAGAAAATTTAAAACCGTTTTCAAGACACCATTTATGTATTTTATTTAAACACAGCTGCATTTGCCGTTCAATAGTATGCATATTCTTACCGCGACAAGAAATATTAAAATCATCCACAAAAAGTGATCCATCAATTGAATCGTTTAAAACCTTTGATAAACTGTTAATCTTGATGCTAAACAGTGTTACAGACAAAATACTGCCTTGCGGGACTCCCTGATCCTGATTATAATGGTCAGACAGGGTTGAACCCACTCGGACTTGGAATTGCCTGTTATAGGCCAGTAGAAATTGCACTGAACCTAGACATTTCTGATAACAGGCCAAATTTGTGTTTAACCTGACCAGAAGGGTGTTATTGGTCACCATAAAACACCCAAAGAAAATCAAGGTTGGGGAAATATATTTTTGTGCATGGTGTTAAAATCTGGGGTCTGTCCCGTCACCCACATTTCAGCATGAATGCGCCTTGTCACGGCTACATAGTTCATAACAAAGTTTGGGTTTATCTTCATACTGGTAGTATTTTTCATTTATGCAAACAAGCCTACTTTCAACAAAACGTACAATATTTTAATTATTTCTATCGATGTCGGCCATCTTGATTTTTAAAATGGCCGCCATTTTAATTCAAGATGGCCGCCATATCACAATCAAGAAGGTCAGCTTTATTGACTCACTACCAGTCATGAGGTCGAATCTCAAGGTTTATGGTTCAATAATTTTGTTATATTTCATTAACTTGCTCTCTACATTGCCCTCATTTCAATAAGAAACATTCACTGACATCAATCTTTTGCAATGTTTGAATGAAGAAAAACAGAAAACTCTGTGTGAAGGAAATGGAGCGAGATGCAAAAACTGTTTGCCTTTCTTGACATCAGTTTGCTTCTGGTTAATCCTGTCTATCAAATACATTGTTGTACCTGACTGATGCTGTTGGCAATCTCATAATACACTGAATATTTTTGGACAGTATCATTCCACATGTGATCGCCAAGCTCCATTAATTATGACATATGTATACGTATCCATTTTCTGTCAGTTACACCATTATTTCGAGGCGTGAATGGACAGAATATGATAGTGATTGCTGTGAATAATGCAGGCCGAAGTTATAAATATCTGAGGGACGCACGATTTCACTGCAGCTAATAGAAACATTCTTTTTTAACATTTTGAGTAAAATTACCGTCTCGTTGTTGATACCAACAGTGATTGTTATGAAATAAAACACAGGTGCACATTATGGATCAGAAAAATCTTTATTAGAACGGTAACGGTAACTGCCAGTTGTCTTGTGGTCTGAGTTGGCCGCGATTATTACCCCAACAGAAGTCATCAGAACATAAATACCAGCAATTGAAGATATACAAGGTTGAAATAACAAAGCAGCAAGGCAAAATCTATACAAGTGAGCAAGCACAACTAATGTCCTTGAGACAGAAATACACACAAACTTATTTTTATTTTATTTATTATTATTATCATTATGTAGCGCCAATATCCAGCTTAGCTCAGCAATGCGCGTTGTTTTTCCCTCGATCATAGGATGTCAATCTCAACGGCACATCATATTTTTCAACCTCAGCTCCCTGAGGACCATACAACTCTTGCAGCCATTTAGGCGCACAAAGTTAATGTGGCTTTCTCATCCTTACGAGAAACCCATTCACAGCTGGGTGGACTGGGACACATAGTCACAGTACGTTGTCCAAGTTTAGTGCATGTTGCTGTACCCGCAACTTGGTGTTTGCACGTATTCATGCGGACACAATCTGGTCATATACCAACAGATTCGTGGGTTCTTTTAAGTGTACAGGGTTGTGTACTGTACACTAGGGGGTTAATGACAACACTGAAAGAGTCTGTACACAAAGTTGACTCCAGGTGGGCTCGATCCCGGTAGACCTTAAGCTCGCTGGATCACTAGCCTGGCGTCTTAGATCGCTCGCCCATTTGCAAACCAACTTTTTATAGATATAAGTTGTTACTGTGGGACTTCATGGAATAGATTGCTGCATGTTTGCTGTGATAAAACTCAGTTATGCCACCAAGACATCTGTGTCATCCGCTTCCATCTGTGTCATCCACTTCTGTGTTGTTCTGTGCATGACACTATCAACATTGATCTTGCATATGTCAGCAATGGTACCAATACTTGCCATGGTATATGCTGGAGAAGTGCACATTCAACGACTACGCCTGGTGTTGTCTGTGTTCTTCATCTTTGTGGTACCGGTAATGTGAAAGCAGATATCTGGCCAGGACAGACTTGGGCATTTTCTCATGGATCCATCATCATGGAAGAAAGCTGGTGACACTGTTGCAAGTTCAAATGAGAAGACATCTGGAGATGGAGGACCACTCAAGAGTTATTGATAGTAATCGCTGACACAGCTCCATTGATGACATCCTCGGCTGTGCCCCGTCTGATAGGCGGACACACTTGTTCATGGTGGTAAATCAAATGTGACTACTTGTGATGCCTTCTTCAACACCTTTCCAAATGTCATCCCTGTCATATTTGTGCAGAGAGCTGTTATTTGGTTCATGCTGAATCCTTGTGGGTGATGTTGATTAAGTCTCCTTTTTGAATTTTGCCTGCCTGATTAGACATTGCTCACATGAACATCAGCCACAGCCACTTGTCCTTGATGGTGATTTCTTCTGATCTTTCAGTCTCAAACAGTTGCACATGAAGCTGTTTGAGATTTTCATGGGCTGTATTATCAACTTGCAGGATTCAGCGATTCATGTCCTGTCAAGGTCACAACACTTGGTCTCCCCCTCTACTTCTGCAATAGTGATCCTTGATCCAAAAATACTTTGAAGCGAGGCGGCGTTTAACATGCTTCAGACTGTAGGGTGAGATCCCAGTAAGCAGATCAGCAGCATACAGATCCAACAGCTACTGTAGAGTGTACAGCTTTCCATTCTGCATACTTTCTGGCAGCAGCTCACCAAGAACTGAAGGCTGTGTTCTTAATGTTTCTTGCTGAATCCTCAGAGTTTGTCCTTGCTGTCCTTTCATGCTCATGCAAAAACACTCCATGCGAAAAGTGTGCGGTGGTATGTTACCTCAACTGCACCAATGTCACCAGCTGGAACATCAACTGCCTTTATCATCGAAGATCTTCTCTCAGAGAGTTGAGAACGGTCTCTTGCAGAATACTTTTTCCCTCTGCTGAAAATATTGATACAAGCTGGATTGCTGAATTTCTATTTGGATGTTATTGAAGGTCTTCCAAAATCACTCCTATTTGCATAAATAAGGCAGTGAGTTCAGTAGTTGTTAAAGTACTGTTCCTGATCTCAATACCACATGGCTGGGGTATTTTCATTGATGTCTATTTTCTGTGAGCTTTCAGTATGGTCGATTATGCTGAGTATGACTTTCTGCATTTTCATGGACAAAGTTATTTTTTTTATTAAAGAGTTGATTGTAAAGAATCATTACAAAGAGTTAATACTTTGGTAGAGTGTTCAAACCCTTGCCTCTTAGTTTCACTTCTCCTGAACCATTGTGACCAAATGACACGTCATGTTGGAGATCAGAAACATATCTGTAAAGAAAATATAAAAAATCAATTAAACTTATGATTAAACATAGGCATATTTGGACATGGTAATACATATTCTGTGGCCAATTATTATTTAAAATATATATAAGCCTGTTTCACATCTTATATATTTCACTTACTGAGATACATAATGTACACTCTATATTTTTCCCAAAACATCTGCATGGAGTAAAAAATAAATACAAATAAGCATATTTTGACATGGTAAATTACAAACAACTTTCTGTTTTAATAATCAATAAATGAGTATGCATATTATGTATATTCACTTAAAGAACAGTGGAAATGAAATGATATTTCATCTAAACTTCAAACATAAAACTTTACTGGAGTTGTTTAACATGCAAAGTTTGTTGCATGTTTTACAATAGTTTTGTAACATTATCTCAAACTATCTGCATTGATATACTGGGTTTCAATGGAGAATATAAACTCTTTCTACTTGAAATATAGTATTGAAATATCACCTAATAAGTAAAAATATTCCTGAATTATATAGTTCCATAAAAATAACACTATCAAAAATATTTTTTTGCAGGTGATATTCCTAAGTAAAAACAGTACATTTACATCTGAAGGGTTTTTGACATACACATATCTATAATTTGTTGTCAAGAAAATATTTTCTGCAGTGTTTGACCTTGACCTCGGCATCAAATACAGGCTTTTATTAACTTGAAACATAATTACTTTTGGGAACTAATGTTAATTAATTAGGCAAGCATACATTAATGTATAATATCAATAAGTGCTATGTACCTTGTAGTGAGGTTATTATAATTCAATATAAACAACTAATTATGAAAAGTAAACATAGATGGCTGCAGTCTATTTATAGTAACACCATGAAAAAAGATCTTGAAGTCTTTGATTTGACTCCTAATGTGTGTAAAACTAGCCCAGAATTAACTTGCCAGTATATGGCTATTATTTGTACTGCATGTAACTTTGTAACTGTAGAAGTTAAAATCATACTTATGCAGAATATAACATTGATAGTTTGGCACAGTCATCATGTTTCTGCTAAGTGGTTGCAAAGTCACCTTCTTCTATTTTTATTTAATATATGTCCATGCTTAACATGTGGATATTGCATCTAAGGGTTATTTATATGCATTTGGCAAAATTTCTTGTGCTCAATTTTATTCATACATACCCAGATTTGGTCCACTTTGACAGGAGCTTGGCAGTTGACAGCTGTTTGTTTACATAGCAACGGTGCTATCTTCTTACAACTGTTTTTGTGTAGTTTGCTGAAAACAAAGCTTTGGGACCTTTTTTGGACACCCCCAAAAACATATTTCCCCACTCTTGATTTTTCTTGGGTTTTGTGTACATGATAAATAGACACCAGAGAACAGTATTCTGCAATAATTGGCCTGTTATCACAAATGTCTAGGTTATTTTATTTTGACGTCGATTTCTACTGGCCTATTATTTAAAAAGTTGGATATAAAGTGAGGCAAACGGCCTCGTAATCCAAAGTCATGTAAATCTTTTAAAATCCCATGTTTCCATGTTGTGTCGTATGGATGGAGAAGGAAACTTAGAGAAGATTTAAAGTATATTTCAATTTTGTCTAAATAATGAGTGAGTGAGTGAGTGAGTTAAAATTTATCGTCACATCGGCAATATTTCAGCCATATCGTGACGAGAACAATTAATTGGTACACATAGTAAGTAATAGTAAATTATAAAAGCCTGCCTACGAAGGACAGTAAAATAACTAGATTATCACAAAGAATAATTTAAAAACTAGTAATTATATCTAAAACAGTTTAACTATAGTTGACAATACAATATAAAACCGGGCTATAGATTGCTAACAACTGAAGGTAGATCACCATACTAGGGACCATGGGGACTTACAGTACTTTTGCTTCCTGCATGGACCCTAGCTGGATTTACACCATCCCTCAGCTATTAGCAATTTTAGATATTCAAGCCACAAATTAAAAGAACATATATCTCTACGATTAAAATAACAGTAGATTTAAATTTACACTTTGAATGCTTTGGGATCTTACGTACCCTCTCAGGAGGACAATAATTTTACAGTACTTCAACCCCCTTTGAGGGCATACAGCCACTAATAATCTTCAGTTATTAATCTAAACTACCAACAATAAAATATTTAACTATTTACAGATCAGTAAGCAAATCTAATTCTTTTAAAATTCAACTATTAAAATGATAATTAACACATAAAAAAGATCCTTCAAAGTTTTGACATTGAAATAGGATATCCCTTGTGATGGAATATTCAACACAGTCAAGCAGGACATGCTTGACTGCGTGATTCGTTCATCATAAGGGATACAAAACGGAGGATCCTCACCTTCAATAGGTACCTCATGAGTATATCTTGTGTGGCCAATACGACATCGTCGTATGATGACCTCTTCAAATCTGGACTGACAACCCAAGTAGTGTGTAACCGATAGTTGGTTTGATTGCATGTAATTTATTGATACCTACTTGGGCATCCCGAATTTCTTTGCATCAGATCGCGGATGTATGTTCTAATGCTGGCTTTATAATCATCAGAGTATGGGATCAGAAGTGGTGTCATAGATTTGTTGAGTGCTGCCTTGGCAGCCAGATCGGCCATTAATGTTGCCAGAAATGCCAACGTGGCTGGGTAACCAACAAAAAGACGATGTCGCATTGGCCAGCAGCAAGATCATTATATAATTGGATTATTCCAACTAAAAGTGGATGTTTGCAAGAGAGATTTTTAATTGCCTGAAGGCACGAAAGAGAGTCAGAAAATATTATATATTGTTTATATTTACGGTGTTTATTAATATATTTAAGAGCTGTTAAGATGGCGTTTGCTTCTGCTGTGAAAAGTTGAACTGTCATTGGGTAGTCTGGAAGATATTGTTTTGGACCCAATGACAGTGGCATCAAGCAACCGCGCCACCATCCCTGGATCCATCTGTATATAAGGATTTATAGGTATTATATTTGTTTCTTAATTGACCAAATTTCTGTTTATATTGTAAATCATTAGTTTCGGATTTTTTAAATGTGGTTAATGTTAAGTCAACTTCTGGCCCTCACCAATTTGCCAAGGAGGAGAAGAAAGAAGACGAGAAGGAGATATATTCTCCAGCCCAATGCCAGCAGCAGAAAGGAATGGTTTAATTCTGTGCAAGAGGCCGGAACAAGAGAGAGCTTTTGTTATACAAATCCTCATAAAGAGGATTGAAACATGACAATTAAATGCAGGGATTGAATTCGTTTTGAATTGATAGTTTAGTAATATATTGTAAGGATAATTTCCAATGCAAGCGTTGGAAATCGAAAGGCTCATCTGCCTCAACATAGAGACTATCAACTGGAGAGGTTCTAAATGATCCAAGACAAAGTCTTAGACCTTGGTGGTGGAACAGAATCCAAGTAATTTGTTGTTGCTTTTGCAGGCTTCCGCCATATCACGATCGAACCTTAATCAAGTTTAGATGGTACCAATGATCGGTATAAGTGAAGGAGGTGGTTTGATCCCCTCCCCACTTTGAGAGTGGGAAGTCAACTTTTTAGCAAATCGAGAGCCTTCTTGTGGCATTTAGTTTTAAATTAACTTCCTGTATGTGGTAAGAAACTACGTTAGGGTGTGAGTCAAAAATAATACCTTAAGAACTCTGGCCTCCTTCACAACTTTGATAGAGGTGCCATTTAGAGATGATTCCGGGTCTTTGTGCGGCTTTATATTTTCTACAAAGTGTGTAGACAATTAGTTTTGGA